GCCCATGGGCTGCATCAGACCCCCTGCAGAGTTCCTATCAGGCCCACCAGCAGCTGTCTGTCTGCTGCTTCCTGTTTCCTTCTCTGCTGTTTCCTGTTCCTGTTTCCTTCTCTGGGGCTGCTGCTGATTCACAGATTGCTTGCCCAGAGCTCCTCAAATGCAGGGAAGACATAGACAGCCACACCTCTACATTGGAGAAGGAGGAGGAGAAGAGGAGGAGGAGATTGGATTTATACCCCGTCCTTCACTCGAGGTCTTAGAGCGGCATACAAACTCCTTTCCCTTCCCCTCCCTACAAGAGACACCCTGGGAGATAGATGGGACTGAGAGAGCTCTGACAGAAGCTGCTCTTTTCAAGAACACCTCTGACAGAACCACCATCGCCATTTTGCAACAGGCTCCTTCTGATTAGCTCTCCCGGCAACAAGTTGCAAGTGCTTCCACAGGTAGTTTCTGAAATCAGCTAAACATATTGTTCTCCTCAGCTGGTGCTGGCCAATCAAGGGGGGGAACAGCCTGTCACTCAAGCTCTCCCTTCCAGTGAAGAATTATCTCTTTACCTCCCAAATTGTTGCACTAGGAAACCTGTTAAGTGCAGTCTGTCATTGAGGGGCTTTTCAATTACTCTTTTTGCAGGGTATTACTAAATTTATTAATCTGTGAAACAATTAATTATTTGAGACTTATTTTCCTTTGTCTGTCCTGATTGGGCTGCCCATCAGCTTCACTGGGTGCCCTCAAGTTCTCTAGTTTGGTGTAGTGAGAGCCAGTTTGGTGTAGTGGTTAAGTGCGCGGACTCTAATCTGGGAGAATCAGCCTCACCTACGTCACAGGGTGTCTGCTGTGGGGTGGGGAAGGGAAAGGAGTTTGTAAGCTGCTCTGAGACTCCTTTGGGTAGTGAAGGGTGGGGTATAAATCCAATCTCTTCTTCTCTTCTTCTTCTAGCATTTTTGGAGAGGAAGGACAATGTCTCTTTGTCACCTATCTCCATCCCATACATAGTTTTCTCCCCACTCCAGGCAGCACGGGGGCATTAGTCCAGTGCTGCACTGCTGGTTCTCCAGTCTGCCTACGTGGGCCTTCCTCTGATTTGATGCAATAATTCAGAGCAAGAAGTGTTAGTTATCAAAGTCTATTAAATAAACAAAATATTGCAAGGGTGTTGTTTTAAGCATGTTTGTAGTTTAAGTAAAAAATAATATCTTGTGTTTGTCTGTGCCCTTTATAAAGTTTATATCTCCACTACCCGGCATTACATTTTATGAAAAACATGGTCTGGCCCGACAAGTTGCATTAATGTCAGATCCGGCCCTCTTAACAAATGAATTCGACACCCTTATTTAGGAAGTAATATACACGGTGATGTAAGGAAGGAAGGCACCATATGAGTGCTGTGGCATGAATTCTGAGTAAGCCAATTTTTCAATGCATTCTCATACGGCAAAATATATGCATATATTCTTCCAACATTAATTGCATATGCTTTTTACAGGGGAAGGGGTAGGGGAAATGTCATATACAAAATGGCCAGAGAAAATTCCCTTTTGTGCTTATCAATACTAAAAATACTATACTTCAATGTATACATAGCTCATCTTGCCAGCTTTTAATGACTGCCAATGACAGAGGATTAATTCTGTACAGTAGCTAAACAGTCAACACACATTGGTTAATATTTAAACTGGAAACCGATAGACCATATTACCAGACAGGTTAATGTGACTTGAAACCTAGGAAGGCTATATGAAGTCTGAAGAGGTTCAGCCCTGAAATAATTTCCTGTGCTTACTTTCAACAGTCCTGTCCATTGGTCCATTTCACAAAACAACACTTTGTGAAGAACTCAGGACTGGCACAGATTTTACTCAACTGGAAAGTATTGTCTCTCCTTAACCCATGTGGCACTCACTGTAATTAACAGTGCTGTTTACCTTCCACAGTAAGCTAAATGATATAAAAGGGAATGCTTAAGACCAATAATATCTGCACTACTAGCACCTGAACTTTTTGTATTAATGAACCGCAATATGTAAGTATGCCTTGTTTAGCAATCACCTGTGCTAAACAAGAAATCCTGATAAAATGGCTTTTTGATAGGAGAAAGAGTCACATTCAAACAGTACTGTGTTAGTTTTGTAGCACAATGAAAGTGCCCAGACTGGCAGGAATCCAATCTGTACAAGGAAATATTTTTGTCAGCCAAAGGATGACCATTCTTATAAAATGATAGACTGATGCCTAGAGAAGTGCAAAATACAACAACACCACAGCTTTTTTCCAATTCAGATCTATTAGACCCCAAAAATATTGGTATTCTCGAACATTCTGGAATACCAGTATTGTATTGGTAATTCAGATAAATATTCAGGAAACCCAAATTTATTTGGCTCCATTAGAGAATTTCACTCGTTGAGTCATGCTGCCGTGGTGGCGTGACTCAGCAAGTGAACTGGAGGCATTGAAACTTCCCAAATACCAGTATATTCCCAAATACCAGTATTGATATTGAGGTAAATATTTGGGAACCCTGAATTTATTTGGCTCCACTCGAATTTCACTCGCAGAGTGAAGGAATTTAAACTTTAAATGCCTTCTGAACTTGTTGAGTTGCAATGCCACCACAGCATGACACAGTGAGTGAACTCAAAAGGCATTTTAAAAAGACCGTAGTGTCTTTAAATGCCTTCTAGCTGTACCCAAATAAAAGCTGAATTTTGGCTGCGGTCACACGGAGCATTAGGCACGCTAGAGGGACGGAAGATAGGCGGATTTTCCGGGCGCAATCTCACCGCCACATCTGGGAAGCGTCAAGCTCCCATGGCGAACCCAAGGCTTCCCGCGGAAGATGCGTGGTAAAAAACTAGTACCTCGGAGGTACTAGTTTCCTGAAACCGCGGGGCAAGGGCGGGCGTCTGATCGTGTTTCCGGTGGTAGTTCTGGCACCCGCCCATGTCCCCTCGCAAAAAGTTTTTTTTTCAAAGTCTCCACGGATGCGCACAAGCACCCAAGGGAGCATGCGCACATTTGAGTTTTAAAAAAACCCCAACCCCAACCCCTGCTTCTTTGCCGCGCCGCAGGACTGTGGAGTGATCGGCACCTCCCCCCTACCATGGGACCTCCACGGTAGGTCTGCTCGCACAACCGCACGGTTTTTAGCCCCAGGGCAAACAGCCACGCTCCCCCCCCCCGCATTTTCCTGCCCGTGTGCCCGCAGCCCATATTGGCTTTTATTTGAGTGTGGCAATTTCAGTAGCTGGATGAGATTGTCTAATCTGTATTCAGATGAATACTCAAAAAATACCAGTAATGCATTTTTCAGGTATTTATTCGGTTCAGTATATACCGAGCACACACCCCTATCATGCCACTGGGAAAACTTGTGTTCCATGTATTTACTGCTACTTATTTAATATGGTTATATATACTACACTTTCCAAAAAGATCAAGACAGTTTACAAGAACATAAAATATAAAGTAGGCAATTAAATTTTTAAAAATTGACATGTTGCAACCTTTTGGTTGTGCAGTTTGTACAGCACCAGATGGTCTCAGGGCGATTATTCAGTCAAACAGGTATAAAATATGGTATAAAGCAGCAAATAAAATGGGATGTAGAGTTCTCAGCCCCCTTATTATTGGCCCTTCAGAGGGTGGTGAAACTGGTTATTTTCTGGAGATTTGATTTATTAAATTTCTACCCCGCCCTCCCAGCCATGGCTGGAGGGTCCTTGAGGGGCTTAATCCATCTGATAATTGTGTTGCCAGTTTCTTCATGCTGCTTTCCTGCTGCGTGAACAGGGTTTTTTCTCATGTTATTATTTGAAAGTGTTATTAGTGTATTGAAGATTTCTAGTGGTTTAGTTTTACTGCTTTTGGGAGGACATTTTAGATTTGGCTGAGGCGCTATAGTTTTAAAGCTAGCAAATATCCTTTAGTTTGTGTCTGTTTTAATTCTGTATTTCTAACATTTTAAATTTTGTAAGTCATTCTAAGTACTTGGATAGAAGAAAATCATATAAAGATAGTACCTACAGGAACAGATTCATACTCACATATGTATGTTTAGGTGAAACAAACAAACAAAAAACCCCTAAAGATGAACAAAAGGCTGAGGAACAGAACACCTATATGTAAATAATCAGAGAAATTATGTCAAAAAGGAACCAGGGGAATTTGCTCATTCCCAGTGACTTTGTTAAAAACACAGCCGCTTAAACAGAACTTGGCACCTTTCACACAATACTTCTACAGTCTTTATTGTCACAAAGTCATGGAACAAGAAAATAAACAGAAAGACTGGTTTATTAGACAACAAATTCAACTAAACAGTGATGTGTCTATAATATTTTATGACATAATCTTTATAAGAATCCAGGAAGCAAAAACTCAACAATAATAAGACAGTATTAAAACAGCCAATTCCATTAAAAGTCAAGAAATGAATAAAAATAAAATACTAAAGACACTTAAAATATGCCTTTCCACATTAAAATGGTTTTGAGTTCTGTAGCTTTCAGCAAACATATAGAGAACATGCAAGTGTTTATGTCAGGAGTCTCCAACATGGTGGCTGTGGGTGCCTTGTCACCCTCCAACATCTTTCCTGGTACCCAGCAAGTGTTTTTACAAAATGAGCTAAGCATTTGCCCTGCAGGGCGTCTGACTGGCCATTGAGATTTGATCTGCTGTGCAGATTTTTATAAAAACGTTGTTTTGGCAGCAGCTCCCACCACAGTATAAAGATCTTTACTGTGTGACTAAAAATAATGCAGCAGCCATGTTGTGGCTGGCTCTGCCTCCTGCGGCAGCCATGTTTTGACAGTACCCACCACACTGTGTCAGAATTCTAAAGGTGCTCAAAAAAATGGAGACCCCTGGTTTATATTGTCATTGGCTTAGTGCATATATGACACATTCCAATAGTAAGATTCCTTACCAACAAGGATAATAGCAGCAAGATGTAAATGAAAGAACATTTTAGTTGGGGGGAAAAACCTTACCTTTGATAGTCTCCTCAACTACTTCTACTACACGATCTATCTGCTGGACCTGAAAAACAGGAGATTTATAAGTTAATTTTTGACTGGGAAGGATTCCGTACAGCAAACATTTAATTTGTGTACAATAATAGATGTAGACTATGCTATATCTAAGCAGCATTTCTGTTTGCGATGTAGTGTAAACCTTATTTATCCAACTGTTTATAATTTCTGGAGAACTTTTTGCGCTTTTTTAACACTAAAAATTATTCACACAACAGTCATGAAAATTGGAAACTGAAGTCAAAGGTCAGTGACACTGAGGAATTTCAGACAGATGATATAATCCAGAAGAGGAATGGTTCCCAGACGGTTTCTGGTCTGTCATTTCAGACACAACAGTTTTAGAACCGGTTCCCTACCAGAATATATTTGTAATTTAAGACACAAATGCTTCTGTCCCGTTTAGGAAACAGGGCTGAAGCGTTTTACCTGTCAACCGCTTTCAAGTAGTCTTCAGTTTCCTCTCCTGGTTCAGGTGCGCTTTTTCCCGCTGTTTTTCGCCCGTGCAGGCGACCTCTGGCTTTTTTTGGGGAATATTCATTTTATAGTGTTATAGCGCTATAGCACTATACCGCTATAACGCAACGGCATTATATCAACCCAATTGAAATGCCTGGAGTGTTTTGTTATAGTCAATGACTGTTTTTAATAGAAGTTACAAGGCTAGCTTTCAAGCAAGGGAAACCTTTACCTTTTTTATGTTGCATAAATGGGTGCACTTACCCCAATAATACTCAGGCCTTGTAGGTATTCTTGGCGAGGCTGGGCTTGTGGAACACATCCAGCTAAGACAACTTTCTTTTTGCCTTCTTGTGCTCTCCTAAAAAGGTATTTAAAAAAAACACATTACTTTCCTTGAATAGCACAGCAAGAAAACAGAGCATGTATGCAACTGAACTACTGGATGGGGGGGGGAATAGAGAATTCCAGATATAGGGAGCCTTTGGCTACAATTGTCTTCTGAAGAAGAGTCAGAAAAATGTATGTTTTACTTGTAAATCTAGAGGAATAACTGGAAAGTTTAAAATAAGACAAACTTTAACCATATGTGATACAGAGTTCCTCAATGCACAGAAAACTCATATTTATATTCTTGTTCTGGATGGTCATAAATGAAGGACAGTAGAAATTATAGTTAATGAAGTAAGTAATTTCTAATGGCACATTTTCATAATAGTTCTTGGCTGTGAGCACTTCCATGGGGGGGGGGGACGACAAAACCCCCAGCTACCATGTATTCCAGAATGTCCACACAATATCTGAAGAGAACACCTACTCTAAGAAATATCCAGTGGTAACTTCTCTAACATAGATAAGTAATTGAGTATACAATTTCATGTTAGGTCACTGCCATAGCCATTATTTTGGAGGACGCCTTTGTAAAATAGCTGACTATGAGAATCCAATAGGTACACAAGCAATCCATATGGTATATATGAGTGTTTGATAAAACATATAGCAATATGACTTTCTTACTGGATCCAAACCAATGTAACACTCAGTGCAAAACAAGAGGCCAGCATACGAAACTGCAAGGAAACTTCTCAGGATCATTTGCGTTTCCTTAAAGCAGGCTGCTTCTAATGCAGGATCTATCATAGACAATTGCAGTGACACTTGAGCTAAACCTGGTTAGTATTGCATAGAGGGCAGCAATGGTCAGCCACTTCTGATCATCTCATACCTTGAAAAAAAGATATAGTGCTGGAAGAGAGGACCCCCAGGTCAGACAGCACTCAGTCAACTGCTGGGGAAGAACAGAGGACAAGTAGTGCTATTCTTAATGAAACAACTGGGTTAAAGCCAAAAGGACCTTCAGTTGTTGATGTGAATGGATGCTAAAAGAAAGTCCAGCATTGTTTGAAACATACATCAGGAACATGGAACGTGAGAAGTATGAATCAAGCTAAGCTCGAAATCGTAAAATGAGAAATAGAACCTTTAAACACTGCAATATTGGGAGGGAGTGAACTAAAATGACCTGGATTAGGACATTTTCAGTCTGAAACTTATGAAGTGTTTTACTTTGGAAATGACAAACACAGAGAAAATGAAATTGCTCTAGTAGTGAGGTAAGATGTACGTAGCACAAGCAATCAGGGGCTAAAAGGCAAAATCTGATTGAATAATATCAGACTTCACAACATAACTATCATTCAAGTTTATGCCCCAACTACAGGTACTAAAGAGGAAAAAAATGAAAGCTTTTACACAAATTTCCAGGAAGAAAAATCACACACTGAATCAGGACAATTTGATCATCATAGGTGACTGGAATGCAAAAGTGGGAAAGGAAGTAGAATCAAATATTGGCAGAAAATTTGGGCTAGGAGCACGAAATGAAGCAGGAGAGCAACTCACAGAATTTTATGAAGACATCAAGTTGTTCATTTCGAATATGTTTCAGGCAACCAGACGACTGTATATGTGGACATCACTGGATAACCAATACAGAAATCAAACAAATTACATAATTGGAAGCAGAAGATGGAGAAACTCTATCCTCTCTGCTAAAACAAGACCAGGAGCTGATCATGCTACAGACCATGAATTTTTAATATCAAAAATTAGAATAAAGCTGGGGGGAAACATCAGAACATCCACAGTGCCAAAAAACAATCAAAGCAACATTCCTGAAGCCTTTTAAGACCATGTAAAGAACTCATTTGCATTACTAAGTTCAAGTGAACAGTAACCAGAAGAACTATGGGTTGAAACCAGAGATATTAACAAATAAGAATACGCAAAGACAATTCTTGTAGACGAAAGAAATAAAAAAACCTTGATGGATGACTGATGAAACACTTAGCATTGCTAAAAACAGATGAGGAGAAAAAGTAAAATAACAGAAACGGAATCAGAAATCTAATGCAGCATTAAAGTGACTGGCACATAGAGACAAAGAGAACTATTACAATAGCCAGTGTAAAGCAACAGAAGAGAGCAACAAAACAGAAATAACAGATCTGTTCCACAAAATCCAAAAAAATCAAGGGGAAATTTAAAGCATGGTTAGGCATGTTGAAACATCAACATGGAAATACATTAATTGAACAGGACAAAACAAAAGACAAGATGGGAACAATACACTGAAGAACTATACAAAAGACATGAAAGGATGACAGATTCCTTCATAGAAGAATCTGCTGAAGAAGGACCAGCAATTTTAGATACTGAAAGCTGCACTCATAGCAAACTGGAAGAAAGTAAATGGGATATCAATAGATCTATTTCAAGCTACAGAAACAGTGCCCATCACAAATTTAACAAGAATATGCCAACAAATATGGAAAACAAAACAATGACCAGCAGATTGGAAATGCTCGCTGTACATTCCAATTCTGAAAAAGGAGACATCAAAGACTGCAGCAACTACTGGACCATTGCATTAATCCCTCACAGTAAAGACTGTTACCATGTATGGAACAAGAAATGACAGATGTTTGAGTGGCTTGCCGGTACGGCGCGACGACGGGCGTGAGTTCGGCTAGCTCCGAGCCGCCCGAGCCTCTCTTGATTCTTTTCGAGCCTCCCAGTTTTGGGAGAGCTCGACCTACACTCCAGCAGAGAGAGCAGCTTCTTGCTGGCCCCTCCCGTAATTTGGCAAAGCGGGGGGGGGGGTGACCAGAATTGCCCTGATGCGGGAGCGAGAGATTGGAAAGAACATGGCCGCCATGTTCTGTTTAGACACTGCCACCCGGTCCTTTTAAACTTTTTTCCCCCTGTCGGAGTGATACATCACATTGAAGAATCTATTTTGTGCATATGCTGGAGGAGAGGACGATTATACCCCTTATGGATACTTCCCTGTGGGATGGAAAAACCAGTTGTGGAAAGGTGTTTGGGATTTAAAGTGACGTGACGAACTTGAAGGGGGTAAGAAACAATTTTCTGCTAAAAGTGCCATTACCCTTTAAGAAGCTTAATATTTTGAAATATAGTTGAACCTGATGGATTGAAGTGTGAGGAGATGGATGGAGATACTAAAACCGGAGTGCTCGCATGGGAACAGTTTCAAAAGTTTGGTAGAAGAAGTAAAGCAAGCTTTCAAATTAGCCTGTGAGAATGTTTTCAGAAAATCCCAGAATGAAGTGCTGGAGGTGAAGGAAGATAAAGAAATAATAAAAGAAACGTATAAGTGGAGTGAGGTACAAGAACTAGAGCAGGAGAAAGAATTATAGGCTATCCAGCCTTCACTTATAAAAGAAGAGATTCAGGAGGCAGATATCTCTAAAAAAGCATTGGAAGAACCTAGAAAAATAAAACCAGGAACAACAAAACAATGTGTGTTAAATTTACCTTGGAGAAAAAGGGAGAAGCCAACCAGAGGGAAAAAATTAAAGAAAGGAGCAAAGAAGTCTAATGGTGTTAAGCAATTGAATAGTAGGGACTATGGAGGAGACAATATGGAAATGGAAATGCAAGAATACAAGGACAGACGACACGTGCAGGAGAATGGGAAAAATCAAGAAAGAAAGGAACTGGAAGATCATTGCAAATATTGTCTTTGTAAATTAATAAGATGTTCAGATTTTTGGTTTGTTTATAGCTCTTACACTGTTATTGGGGGAAAGATGGCTGTACTGAAGTAATTAGTGGGGTGTGATAACTGTTATAAAAGTATTTCTAATTTTGTTTGTTTGAATAATTTTTACTTTAAACCAATTGGAAATGACATTCATTGTAGAGGGCCTTGTTTTGTATAAGTTTGTGGCTGTAATGAACTAATTAGTTGTGAGAGGAGAGTTGTTTGAAGCTGAAATCATGTGCTGATAATGTAACCATAAATTAAATGGAGTTGAAAACTATTGCAGCAATGGTGTTAACAATTGTAGCAATATGATTAAGGAGATTGTTATGTGTGTTATATTATTATCTAATTTATGTGAGGGTATTTAAGGCAGGGATGATTGGCAATAATTGTTATTATAGTTGTTATAAAAGTATTTGTAAATTTTATTTGTTTATTTGAACAAATGTTACTTTAAATTAAGTGGAAATGAAATTTATTGTAGTATGCTTTGTTTTTCTATTGTTAGTAAGTTTGAAGGTGGCTGCAATGATTTAATTGGTGGTGGTGTGATATTATATTGGAAATTTTGTGTTGATAATTTAACCATAATTCAAGTAGAGATGAAATCTATTGTTGCAAGGAATATGACTAAAGAGATTGTTATGTGTGTTATTATATAATTTACTTTTTGTGAGAGTATGTAAGGTAGAGGTGAGAGACAGTAATTGTCATTATTGTTGATCATGTTTGAAATAGTGAAGTAGTTATAGGTAGGTGTATGTAAGAATATATTTTTGTAAGTGTAATGCTATTTTGGTCACATTATTATAAGTAAAAATGAAATTTAATGGGGGGTATATTAGTTTTAGTAGTAATACGATGTTGATATTGTTTAAGATTTATGGATATGTTGTGCTGGCTTGTGTTTTTGTGTTGGTATCTATACAGTTCTTAAAGCATGATCAGAGTGTAAGTTGTGAGTATTTCAGGTGTGATTGAGTATAAATTAGAAAGAATTATGTGGTTCAATATAGCAGATGAATTTACAAAAAGCTATCTTGAAAGCAATGGTAGGAAAGCAGAGAAGGCAGAGAACATCCATGCTGACTAGAGTAGATGAGGAGTTTCATGACATGAGTGATGCAAGGTGAAACTAAAGGTGGTTAATATAAGAATAGAAAAAACTTAAAAAGAAAACTTAAGTATGCACAACTAATTTGTTTGGTCAATGTGATGTATTGAGAAATACTTGTAATGGTTTATGTGTATGTGTGTGTATTAAGCATAAAAATCCAATAAATATATTT